CTAGAGGGCTTGAAGAGCTTCGTGTGGACACTTGAACTGCTCAAATCGGACGTCAGATGGCAAAATGGCGTGCTCCGAAAGTTAGAGTATTGTTATGACAGCAATCTGCTGCTATGACAGTAGGTGTGCACTGCGGCGCATGATAGTTGCATCGTAGCACAAGTTCCTTTTCAGGGATTCATCCCTCTGTGCCATCCGCCGTGGTAGTAAATCAGAGTTTTTGCAAAATGGCTTTAGTTTGTTTTGAAGTACTGTTTGATTTTCATACTTCTGTATTTGTATTAATTTGATTTTCAACTATGGTTTGAGCTCAAACAATATTCTTAAAAAAGGTTTTCTTAGGATACCATTATTTTAACTAATTATCTAAACCTTTGAATTGTGATAACTTTTACTTGGGTTTTTATCTAATCTTGGTTATCGTAACAGCATGTAAGAGTGTTGTCTTGGTAATGTCAAAGTGGACATTATAAGTGAGTCATGTGATTTTTAGGTGGGTCACACCTCACGATTGGTGAGCTTACATAGTCCAGTCATATGCATGGAGCCCTATTTAGTGTTATAGTCCATAGTTTTAGTCTGAGAAAATAAGGTGGGTGTAAGGTTAGTTGATCATTACCTATGTAAGTGTATGACGTGTCACATGTTTGAGTTGTGGCAAGTCGCGTGTTGTGGTGGGTCATGATCATATGTCTGAGTGTCTTGTGATTATGTACCTAGTATGTGTGAGATGAAAATGTGTTAACTGTGTTAAGAAGTTATGATATGTGTTAAAGTATGTTTTAAATATTTGGTTTCATATGTATGTGTTTGATTTTCAATTAGTATATAACTGCATAGGGTAGTTTTACCTTAGTTACTGAGTGGCTAAATTCACCCCTTTTCTTTAACACTTTTCAAGCTCTAGCTCTAGTGTTGAGAGGGACAAAGCTATTGAGGCCTAAAATTTTTTGTATTCCTTTAGTATGCCTCTTGTATCTATTTATTTTGTGTAATAACATATAGTTGCCAATTCTAGATTGCAGATAGTTGCATTTGCACTATTTTGTTACTATAAATGTTTGAATTATATTTTGGGCCTGGAGTATTTGTGTATTAAGAAATATATATGTTAATAGGGCCAAAATACTAGTGCAAGTATAGAAATGATGTTTTAAACATGTTATAATGATTTTTGATGCAATGCAATGAAAATTTGCCTCCCCCTTTCTGTTTTTAGTAAAAACGGGTTGAGGAGTGATTTTATGTTCTACTAGTATTTAAGTGCATATGACATGTTGTACTGATAGTCTTAGGTCCAATAGACATGGTCCAAGTGTTAGGAAAGGCTTTTGGCATTTGTTGTGAGTTTTGGACACCCTTTTTGTGTGAAAGTTGTAGTAAGTGGTAAAAATGTATTTAGATGTCCAACTTCTTAGTGTGACTCATTTTGGAAGTGAAACTCATGTTATTAGCTAGTTTATGTAAAGAGCTTTCCGTAGATACCTAAATCATATCATTCAAATGTCGGATGGAGAATTGGGACGCGTTAGAAGTTCCTTTAATTCTACTATCAAATGATAGTAAAATTTGCTGTCATTTACGTACAACATGTAGTGGCACATGGTGCTTGAGTTGTGGTGTGTGGCACAGAGAGCAACACATTGCTGCGCAGCGTGCATGATCTATAGCGCATTGCCTTGATTTATAGAAAATGTGTTGTTCTTCAGTTGTTTTCATTCTTTTTCACTCTTTTGAGTTATCACATGCTTCCATAACTTACTTTTACTCTGGAAAAAGAGATTATGATTAATTTAAACTCATTTTGATTAAGAAAACTTGTGATCCCTTAATTTTGAACTAAAACTTGGTAATTGCCTTGATGGGTTAATCTTTTGATTATTATAAGTTTTATTAGTTAATTTTGTTTAGTAGAGTGAGATTTTACAAAATCAAGTGCAAAATGATAAGTTTTATTAATTGCAAAAATAGTGTAATATTGTCTAAAGTTGCAACTTTATTCACGACTTTTGTCACTGTCAGAAAAATGCTGTGCTTTTTTAATATGAAAATGAGTGGGTAGGATATATATATATATATATATGCTACTAGGTCAACCCAGAATGTATTCTTCAGACTTGGACCCATCATTTAGAGCTTTGTGTGCTAGTGTTTGGGCATTGAAAGAGCTTAGAGTAAGGGATTGGAATTTTAAAGACATTTTCTTTAATTTTTCTATTCCTATTCCCTTTCCTCTCTTATATTTTGATATAGGTCTAAATATTTTATGTATTTATAACTTGTGGATGATTATGAGTAGCTAAACATTTTCCATTAGGATTATTTGGAACCCTTGTATGGATTAGCACTAAGTTCTTTCTCTCCTTTTGTGATTATTAATGAGATATATATATATGTGTGTGTGTGTGTGTGTGTGTGTGTGTGTTTATTTTACTCTTTTTTAATGTTTATAAATGTTTGGCTACTATTTAAATGTTAGATTCACTTAATTGATTCTTAAGAGGGTTAGGTTGGGTGTAGAACTTAGATCAAGTAGTGTAAGAACTTAAAGTTTGCTTGATGAATGAATAATTTTGTTAGTAAAATAAAGATATACTTACCAATCTTGCATAACTACATTAGGGTTGGAGTTTAAAATTGGGTTTTTTTAATTGTAACAAGAGATTGGATAATTAATTTAGCTAAACACTTGTTCGTAATTTGAGAGAGTTTGCTCTAGTAATTTTAGAATCCTAGGTTAGCACTTATTTTCATTAAAAATATTTATGAGAGGAAGCAATTTTGATGTTATAAAATGCAAGGGGGGTAAATAATTATAGGTCCTAATTTATGTTTGAATTTTGTGAATCATTCTCTTTTTCTTAGTTTCTAGTATTAATTTAGTTTGCAAAATTAACTTCATCTAATTACGTTTTGCTCAACTTGATTGAAATTGCAAAGTTTTTTGCTTGACCATATTTTTAATACAATCTTTATGGGAATGATACTTCACTCACTCTGTATTACTTGTCACGACCTATGCACTTGCAGAAAGAGCAATAGAAAACAAGTTATCTTTAATAACATAGTAGATAGACATTAGCTTCCCTAAAATCAATTCCAAAAACTACAATAATCCTACTATAGCATAAAAGAAACATAAACACAATAGAAAACCACAATAGTGGAAAGGCTTTTATTATTGAGGCCATGGTGGAAAAGATATGAACCAATAACTAGAGCTATATATCGAACTGTTGGCCAAGCCAAATGTTTAATTATTGATTTTGATGACAACAAATATTTTAAAATTATTTTAAATAATATTTTATATTTTTGAAAAAATTCTTGATTTAGTAGCATGTATTTTAAAGTAATTAAAAACGAAACGCCACTAACACCTTAAGTGGTGTTTCTTTTTAGAAATACAATTGCTAATCAATTATTTTTTTAATTTATAATTTTAGTAAAATAACAAGAGGTAGTGTTTCTTTTATGAAATATCATAACTTATTGTTATTGAACAATTAAGTTTCATTTTAATAAAAAATACCACCTAATAATTGTGATAATATTGTAAAAATAATTTTATTTATATAGTTATTATAATTATGATAATAGTTATTTTGATAATTATTTATTTACATTGATATATTCTTTCAGTGATTGTAATTCTTTGACGTTAAATATTACATTTTTTAAAATATTATTTAAATAATCTTAGGTGGCATTTTTTGACTCAGGAAATGCCACCTAAGATCTTTTATTTATTATTATTTTTATTATTATTTTGATAATCATTTTATTTATTTTTATAATTTTTTGGTGTTTTGTAACTATTTCATGTTAATTATTATATTCAAAATCGCGACTCAAGAAATGCTACCTAGGAGTTTGTATTTATTATTTAAAAACTATTTTATTTAACTAATTCATAAATTAGGAAACACAACCTAAGAGTTTCTATTTGTTATTATTATTTTAATAATTATTTTATTTATTTTTATATGTCTTTTTAGTTTTTTGTAATTATATCATGCTAAATATTATATTTAAAAGGAATATTTTATTTAAAAAATCTTAGGTGGCATTTGTTAGCTTTGGAAATGCTAGTTAAGGGTTTGTATTTATCGTTTAAAAAAACTAAATTTAAATAATCTATGTATGGGAACACTTTGAAAGTGCTCCAGTAGGGTCGCCCTATGGGAGTGTTTCTAAGAAAAATGCTCTTGTAGACTCCCAATCGGAGCTCTCCATTGCTGAAGTGCTTTCCTTAAGTGGACTGCCTTGTCATATCGGAGCATTTTTATCTACAAGTGCTTTTAAAAGGTGCTCTGTAACTTTTTTTTTTTTTTTGGGGTAGTAGTGGAAGGAAAAGAATGTACATGATTTGTAAAATCAAGAAAGCCTCATGGACATTCATCAAAAGCTTCAACCAAGAAAAGATGAAAGATTGAATATAAACTAATGACTTAACCAACTTAATAAAATAATTGTTTTATGACCAACTAGTTTGATATGATTCAACAACAGGTTTAACTATTAATCCTTGAACTTGTACTTTGATTAGTTCTACCATTGGTTTTCAGTCCTTTTTGTAAGAGAGATTGGTGTAAAATCCACATGATTGTAATTGGATTATCACAGTGAGACAATATTTTGAGTATTCTTAAGAGGACTAGATGCGAGTCCTCTTACCTTATTTCTCTAACAACATAATTTGCGCGACCGGTAATGTAACTCAAACTGGTAACAGGGATTGCCAAACAAACACTGTGATACGCAACACACACACACAAAATTCATAGCAAGCACAGTCTGTATAAGATGAATTATTATTAAATCTAGAACAGTACCAAAAAGCAATTGTCGAATGGAGACTAAATTGGTAGTTCATATAATATATAGAGAGAGAGAGAGAAGGGGGCATACAAATAAATCCATAAATATTTTTATTTAACAAACTCTTACTGCTCAAACGACGTATATATACAACACCAATTGATGAATATTTCCAAAAGTAAATCAAAAGACTATATTATTAATTATCACAAATCTGAATTCAACCTCTCCTAATTTATTCTGTCATGCCCTGTCCCAATACTGCAAGAGTGCAAGGCATTATTAGTACATTGTGTAGGAACACAGAGTACGTGATACCTTAAGCGAATCATGAGATTGAGCATCGTGCAAAACACAATAAATCAAGAAAGAAGTTGAAGCTCCATAAATAATCCACATCTATTCCTGATAAGTCAATAAAGTCAATGAAAGAAGTGATAATGCTTCTTTCCATGAGCCTCTTCATATTTCTTCTTTGCTTCTTTCTTCTTGTGATGCTCGTGAAACGCATAGCCACCAGCTCCAACAGCAACAGCTGCTGCAATCTCTTCTTTGATCTTGTGACTGTGTGCGTGTTCTGGATCTTTCTTCGCCTTCTTCTTCTCATGCTGCACAAATAGTTTAATTTGTTTCCTCAAATCATTAAACATGATTATGAACAATGATTATTAAATGCAGATTAATCAGTGTATTGAAAGATATATACAGTACTATTTACCAAAGCGAAGGCACCAGCAGTAACAGCTCCTAGCTTTCCAAGACGTTCCTTATGCTTGTGGTGTTTCTCTTCCCTTTTGTAATCAATCTCACCGGCCGGATTTTCTTTGTGGCGGTGGTTATTGTGGCGGTGGTGGTGGTGGTGGTGACCGTCGGACATGGTGGTTTGTGAATAAGATGTGATTGGTTTTCTCTTGGCCTTCAGTAAGAATATAAGATGATGTCTGCTTACTGCTTTGGATGTGGAGGGTTTATGTGGGAAGCTATGCTATTTATAATTCTCTCTTTGTTGATAATTTCTTATGGATTAAGTCAACATTGTTGATAATTCTTTGGAAGGCCGTGTGAAATAATAAAATCCTCAGAATATACGCGCCAAAAAAACTTCTAGATTTAGAAACACGCCGTGCATATGATACGTACGAATTCTCAGATTTTTAATTTAAACTAGTATTTATTTTAGTTCATGTATTTTTAAAGTTATGTTCACTTGACTTTTTAGCAAATCATCATCTATTACAATGATGCAAGACAGTAATAACACCGTGCCAATATTGTTGGCCAAAAAAAATAAATAAATTACACCAATGTAATAATTAAATAAAAATACTAACAATTGGTTGGCATTTTGCATGAAATGATCTTATTACATAAATCATACCATAATTCAAGGTTAATGAATAATAAATCTTCGTCATATAAACTTTATATATCTACAAAAAGTTATAAAATATATATTGAGATGTGCGTATTTGTAAAATCATTATAAACGTAACTTTGAAACAGTAAACTCTAATGGAAGATAAGGGACCACGCGGAAAATAGCGGTTGGAGCTAAGAAATTGTGAAGTTAACAGTTAACACGTCACGCGCAAAACAAAGAAGGGGCGTGTGCATGTATATGTAACCCTATCATGCAGGGAAAATGAAAATGACAGATTGTGAAAACATTTATAGCAATTCAAAATCTCAAATAATTGAAATGCTTTGAATATATTATCATCTTTATTTGCAATTAAAATATCTCTAATTATTAAAATAGATGATAAAAGGTCTCTCACTATTACAAGAATGACTTTTCACACAGTTTAAAATTGATAATTTAGATCGGTTTTAGAATCAGTATAGAAACATAGATGTAGAAAGTGATATAGCAATAAGTGTAGAAAGGGGCTTTTTCACACTGGTTGCTGAGAGAGAGCACTTTAAGAGATTGAGGAGGGAGAAAACATAGATTATATTTTTTTATCTACTTTCCCACTGGTTGTAATTTAACGAGGATATGATAGAAAAAAAAAATGTTTCTAAACCTATAACAAGTGTAGATAATCTATTAAAATATTGATTTATTTATAAAAATGTCACCAATCAGTCAGACCTTATACACTTGTCAAAACTATAACCGGTTAAAAAAAAAAATCTACTAAAACTTTAACATATTTATAAAATTGCCATCGGTCACATTTTCTACACCAGTTTAGTCTTAACTATAGCAAAATCCTAGTGTAAATATATATATTTTTTACAAGTGACTAATGAATTTTAAAAAAATTAGTTGTGAACTGAAAGATGTCACTTATAAATCTACAAACAAATGTCATGAGTCTCAAATTGGGAGGTCATATGGTTTATAAATGAACTAAGCATTCTCCCCCTATAAAACATCTTTTGGAGGTGAATTCTATCCAAATGGTTTGTGGTGGTGACAAATTAATTGTAATTTGATAGATATTTCCATGAATTTATACATCACCATTTGTGAATTTTTAAAAAGTTACTTATGAATTCATTTGAAGTCAATTGTGAATAAATGTATATAAACAAGATTCTCTAATTCATAAATTTACAATTAAGACTATTCAAATCTATTTATAACTGACGTTCAATGGATTCAAGAGTGACATTATTCTTAAATTCATAATTGATTATCCGTAAATCTTGTTAATATTTTTATATATTATTTCTAGAATATGTATTTAAAACTCAGATATGTTTATATATTTATCTTTTATGTGTTAGCTTATTAAATATATACATAATTATATATATATATATATATATCCATCTTTTATTGCTTCGAGTTTTGAAGAGAGCGTGGAGTGACGATGCTTCTAGATTTCATTCCTCTTTGATTAATGGGCTATTTCATTGGATGCTATCCAGGTCCAATCCCATTTCGGCGGCCCAACAACATTATGAGGCAAACAGTATTGCAATTTTTTGAATTGTTTTTAAAAATAAAGCAAAAAATCTGTTTGATTATGTTAATTTAAAAATAATTTTAAATTTAAAAATAACCAATAGTAGAAGGCACCGGCAATTATTCGTGATGATTTATAATAGTATTTGATCATAATTAATAGTAGCTTTCAATAATCAAACATATAGTGTGCTTTGAAAACAATGAAATAGCTCTAAAAATTTTGATTTTCTTGTTATTAAATGCCAAAAAAGGAGAACAATTTTGGAACATTTAAACCCAAAACACTTACACAAAATGATTTTTTTAATTAATTCACTCTAATTTTCAACTACATATCCTCATTCTCTTTACCCCTTTGATTAAGGATTATAGGCCAATTCAATACAATGTATGTCCATTTCTTTTGGGTTTTAGGAAGAAAGAGGAAGGGAGACAAAAAAGGTTTAGGGTTTTAATCATTTTTAGCAATTTGATTTGATCACTATTACAAAAAAAAAAAAAAAAAGACTTTCGGGAGCACTTCTTTTTAACCTATCAGAACGTTTTGAAAGCAAAACTAGAATTTAATATGTACGAGAACAAAACTAGAATTTTTGTAATGCAACAACGTACATTTAGCAGTTCTAACCTCTTTAATTTCAATATATAAATTTATATTTATTATTAATTTTCAAAGTCCACAATTGAAAATGTATTTTTTATTATGTTCTTTTAATATAAAAATAATAAAAAATAATAATGCACCCGCATATAAATTGGTAAAATCATTTAAAATAAGATTTGATATTTTTGGGGAAAAAAACTCTTGATTAATTAAGATTTATATGGTCTTTATTGCAGAATCAGGTAACTATGAATGATTGATGACGATCAAAGAAGAAATTAGTCATTGGACCAAGAATGGAAAGAAGATGAATTGTTTAGAAATAGAAAAAGAAAAAGAAAATGCATGGACGTGTTTTTTTTTTTTTTTTTAAATCAAGGAAATAAAGCCTTATATATCAACACTCAAAAGCTTCAATTATAAAAAGATGAAAGATTGAATATGAATAATAGAGAATAAAATAGACGATTATCCTTGCGTGCTAAATCGTGCGTTCTGAAATATCAATATTAATAATGAGTATTTGAGTGCTTTGTTGAGAGCATTTTTCTTGCGAACTATTTTTACATATTTGTTGTATTTGTTTGGGATGAGCTGTGTAAAAACCCTAAGATACTAATGTTGAGTGAGTTGTGTAAAATCTTGAAAGAGTTGTAAGAGTTGTAGGTGATCGAACTTGCTGTAAAACTTATTACAATATTGTAATTGAAACTTGTATATCACACACACACTGACACACACACAGTTCCTAGCAAGTGCACAGTGAGTGAATAAGATGAATTAAATCTGGAACAATATAATACCAAAAAAAGTTGTCGAGTAGACACTAAATTAGTATTTCATATATATATATAGAGAGAGAGAGAGAGACAGAGAGAGAAAGAGGCATACAGATAAATCCACAAATATATTATATTGTAAACTCCTACTGCATGAACGAAGTATATATACAACACCAGTTAGTTAATATTCCAAAAGCAAATCAAAAGACTATAACGTTATCACAAATCTGAATTCAGCTTCTCCCCTATTCTGTTCTGTCTGGCCCTTTCCCAATACTGCAAGGTATTACTAATACATTGTGAAGGAACAGAGAGTACTGTAATACCTTGAGAGAATCATGAGATTGAGCATATACAGTGCAAAACACAATAAATCAAGAGAGAAGTTGAAGCTCCATAAATAATCCATATATATATATATATATATATTGTGATAAATTAATAAAATCAATGAAAGAAGTGGTGATGCTTCTTTCCGTGAGCCTCTTCATATTTCTTCTTGGCTTCTTTCTTCTCGTGATGCTCATGAAACGCATAGCCACCAGCTCCAACAACAGCTGCTGCTGCAATCTCCTCTTTGATCTTGTGACTGTGTGCGTGTTCTGGATCTTTCTTCGCCTTCTTCTTCTCATGCTGCACAAATAGTTTAATTTGTTTCCTCAAATCATTAAACATGATTATGAACAATGATTATTAAATGCAGATTAATCAGTGTATTGAAAGATATATACAGTACCATTTACCAAAGCGAAAGCACCAGCAGTAACAGCTCCTAGCTTTCCAAGGCGTTCCTTATGCTTGTGGTGTTTCTCTTCCTTTTTGTAATCAATCTCGCCGGCCGGATTTTCTTTGTGGTGGTGGTGGTGATGGCCGTCGGACATGATGGTTTGTGAATAAGATGTGACTGGTTTTCTTTGGGTCTTCAATAAGATTATATGTGTTTACTGCTTTGGGTGTGGGTTTATGCGGGAGGCTAAGCTATTTATAATTCTGTCTTTATTGATAATTTCTTATGGATTAAGTCATCGTTATTGATATTTAGTTGTAAGGCCGTGTGAAATAGTAAAATAGTCAGAATAGACGCGCCAAAAAACTTCTTGGTTAAAACATGCAGTGTGTTTTGGAAATTAATTCTCAAATTTTCATTTAAAATAATATACATTTATTTTGTATATCTTCTTCTACTATTTAGCCACCAAATTTTTTACGTCTTTATATTCAATTAGGAAGTATGATAATCAGTTTCTACCTTCTAATAAATCTTTAATATATATATATAGCAATATATAATACATAACCATCATATTAATTATACCAACATAATATTATAAAATAAACCAAGTGTAGGCTCGCACTTGAAGTGTGAGGTAATATTTAAGAATAGCATGATTGTTTTATGATAGATTTTATATTATTGTTACTCTTATTATATGTATATAAAGTAAACTTCATCAACGATAAACCATTTTAAAGTTTGAAACAGTCAACGTTAGAGGAGAGGGACGCGGAAAACAGTGATTGGTACTGCAAAATGGTGATGAAGTTCTGGAAGAGATGAAGCGACTATAAAGAAGAAAACAAAAACACGTCTCACGCTAATTGAGAAGAAATAGCGCGTGTGTTTATATATGTCATATATATCCTTCAACATCGCAAGTATTATAAACTCAGAAGTTTGTTTTCTATTTTTTAAAATTATTTTTTATTTTTAAAAATAAAAAATAAAAAATAAAAAAAATTATTTGAGTAAATATTTTTTATTTAGTTGTTTTTAAAACTGTTTCCATTTTTTGTTTTTGAAAACAAAAAAATAAAAAATAACTTTAAGTTATTTTCATTTCATTTTTCTTATTTTTAAAATATATTATATTTGATTATTAAAAATTATAGTTACCTTAATTAATTTCTATTATTAATTATCACCATTAACTGTCTATAACTATTACTATCAATCTATTTATGAATTCTAAAACTATTTTTAATTGATATAACCAAATGAATTTCCATTTTATTTTGTTTTAAAAATAATTTAAAAAATTATATTACAAAATAATTTTTAAAAATAAAAAATGACAACAGAAAACAAACATAAGCTGTGGCGCAACACACGCAAATACTTCATATTTGGAGCATGAGAGTGTGAGAGAGAGAGAGAGAGTTATATATATTGAAAGGAGCCACCAAACCAGAATATTCAAAAAGAGTAAAAGACTAGTAATCTTTTTTTTTTTATTTATCAAAAGGAAAATTGCATTAATCAAAGAATGAAAATATTATTAAATATTTAGCAACAACACCGCAAATGGCAAAACACAGCAACAATTTTTTTTTTTGGCTTTTAGCTAGCAACACTTCACTTTACAATATATAGTTTTTTTTTTTTTTGGTTTGCCATTCGAACTTGCAATTTGTGGGCCGAGTGTGCAGCACACTAACCAACAAGCTACGAGTCTTTATGGCACACAATGTATAGTTTTAAAAGAGACGCCTAATGTGTGAATACATAATATATTTTTTTTATATGTTCCTATTGATCTTCATTTCAAGTAACAAATATTTAATAATGTATGAAAACAGTTCAATAAAATGAAATAGGCAATGATTTTCAACTGTTGAATTAAATTTTTAAATAAGTTTTATAAAAATTGTTTTCTGCAAAATTATTTCATTGTAATATTTGAAAATTGTCTCCCACACAATAATAAACATTACTTTTAATTTTTTTTACAATATTTAAGACATTTGTCTATAGTTTTCTCATTCATAAAAGAATAATAATTCACCTTCATTTTTTGATAATTTTTATATAGTTTATTTATTTATTAGACAAATTCAAAAATTAACGTAGCTATCCCCAATTCACTCCCTAGGATTCAATTTTACTTATTGATGTCTTTCAGATCATTAAAGTAGACCTGCTGTTACAAGATAATTAATTCGAATCTATTGACTCATTATTATATAGTGATTAGGAGGGATTAGTATATTTCTCCTAATGAAAAATATTTTATGCAAGCAATTTCTCATTATAAATCGCGTGGCCATGGCCTATCTTGAAGCTCCTACGTTTAGGTCTCACTAGCACACCCTAACAAGCACTAGTTCATGAATGAGCTCAAGCTAATCCTAGAAAAGAAGAAATTAGACACATATTTGTGACATATCCACCATTCACTATTCACTACTTGGCCAATATTTTATTATGGTAATAGAGAATACAACATATAAAAGGACTATCATGATTAAAAAAAAAAGAATTAAACCTATTTCACAATTACCATTCATGATAGAAAATGAACAAACTTAATAATTGAACATTTTCTACGGTTGAAAAGAAAACAAGTTATATTTAATAATTACAAACAACTATATCGATAGAAAATGATCTACCATAGTAGATAGACATTAGCTTCCCTAAAAACAATTCCAAAAACTACAATAATCCTACTATAGTAGAAAAGCAACAGAAACACAATAGAAAACTACAATAGTGGAAATAATTTGACTATTGAGGCCATGGTGGAAAAGATAAGATCCAATAACTAGAGCTATTAAAATAAACTGTTGGCCAAGCCAACTGTTTAATTTTTGATTTTGATGATAACAAATATCTTAAAATTATTTTAAATAGTATTTTATATTTTTGAAAAAAATCTTGATTGAGATATTGTCTTTCACTACTACAAAAATAAGATTTAATAGCATGTATTTTGTAGCAATTAAAAATGAAACACCATTAAAGTGAAAGCTAAAACACCTTAGTTGGCATTTCAAATCCTTCTTGAAATACAACCACTAGTCAATTATTTTTTTTTAATTTATAATTTTAGTAAAATAATGAGAGGTAGCATTTTCTTCATGAAATACCATAACTTATTGTTATTGAACAATTAAGTGGCATTTTAAAAAAAATCCACCTATAATAATTATGATAATATTATAAAAAATAATTTTAGTTATATAGTTATTATAATTATTATGATAATAATTATTTTATTTGTAATAATATATTTTTTAGTGATTGCAATTATTTAATGTTAAATATTATATTTTTAAAAATATTTTATTTAAATAAGCTTAGGTGGCATTTTTTGACTCAGGAAACGCCACCTAGGAGTTTTTATTTACTAGTATTATTATTTTGATAATTATTTTGCTTATTTATAGATATTTTGGTGTTTTGTAATTATTTCATGTTGATTATTATATTCAAAATCGTGACTTAAGAAATGCCACCTAAGACTTCATAGTTATTATTTAAAAACTATTTTATTTAACTAATCTTAGGTGGTGTTTCCTAAATTAGGAAACGCCACCTAAGAGTTTAAATAATTATTATTGTTATCATTATTTTAATAATTATTTTATTTATTTTTAGATATCTTCTTAGTGTTTTGTAATTATATCATGCTAAATATTATATTTAAAAGAAATATTTTATTTTTAAAAAATCTTAGGTGGCATATGTGAACTCAGGACTATTTAAAGGTTTGTATTTATCATTTAGAAATATTAAATTTAAATACCCTATGTATGGGAACATTTGAAAGTGCTCCTGTCTAGTGCGTCTAAGAAAAATGCTCCCGTAGGCTCGCCAACTGGAGCGCTCAATTGCTGAAGCACTTTCTTGAAAAAGTGGACTGCATTGTCATATAGGAGTGTTTTTCTCTATATGTTCTCTTAAAGAGGTGCTTTGTAATGAAAAGAATGGACATGATTTATAAAATCAAGAAAGCCTTATCAAAATTCATCAAAATCTTCAACCACAAAAAGATGGAAGATTGAATATGAACTAATCAACAATAGTTTTGACTATTAATTTTTGAATTTGTATTTTGACTAGTTCAATGATCAGTTCAGCCTTTAATATTTTTATAAATGATGTTGGTGTAAAATCTATATGACTGTAATTGGATTATCATAGTGAGACAGTCTTTTGAGTACTATTAAGAGGACTAGATGTTAGTCAAGGGATCAAATCAAGATAATTCTTGTAGTGTTTGATTCCTCTTCCCTTATATCTCTAACTATATAATTAATTTGCGCAATCGTTAACGTAACTGAAACTGGTTACAGGGATTACCAAACAAGAAGGGTCTGTTTGGTTTCTATTTCTGTTTTTTGTTTCTAAAAATTGTTGTATAATATAGATTTTAGAATTATTTTTCAAGATAAAATAAAATGAAAATTCATTTGGTTATGTTAATTTAAAAAAAATTTAAAATTAAAAAATAAACTGGTAATAATTGTTATAGACAGTTAATGGTGGTGATTTTTTTTATAAAAATGGGTCAAGATAACTAAAATTCCTAATAATAAAAGATAGTGTATTTTTTTTTAAAAAAGTGAAAATGACTTAAACTTGTTTCTATTTTTTTTAAAAAATAAAAACAGTTTTATAAATAATTAAATTGAAAACACTAATCTAAACAATTTTTAAAATTTTTCTATATTCAAAAATAAAAAAATAGCTTTTAAAAATAGAAAACAAACAGATCCAAACACTGATACATAACACACAAAATTCATAGCAAGCAGGTACAGTCTATATAAGTTGAATTATTAAATCTAGAACAATACCAAAAAAAAAAAAACAATTGTCAAATGGAGACTAAATTGGTATTTCATGTAATACATATATACAGAGACAGAGAGAGGGGGCATACAAATAAATCCATAAATAGATTTTATTTAATAAACTCTTACTGCTCAAATGAAGTATAAATACAACAACAATTATTTAATATTTCCAAAAGTAAATCAAAAGACTATATTATCATCACAAATCTGAATTCAGCTTCTCTCCTAATTTGTTCTGTCGTGCCCTATCCCAATACTGCAATAGACAATTGTGCAACGTATTATTAGTACATTGTGTAGGACCACAGAGTACTGTAATACCTTAATAGAATCATGAGATTGAGCATATGCAGTGCAAAACACAATATATCAAGAGAGAAGTTGAAGCTCCATAAATAATCCATATATACATATATATTCATGATAAATCAATAAAATCAATGAAAGAAGTGGTGATGCTTCTTTCCGTGAGCCTCTTCATATTTCTTCTTTGCTTCTTTCTTCTTGTGATGCTCATGAATCGCGTAGCCACCAGCTCCAACAGCAACAGCTGCTGCAATCTCCTCTTTGATCTTGTGACTGTGTGAGTGTTCTGGGTCTTTCTTCGCCTTCTTCTTCTCATGCTGCACAAATAGTTTAATTCGTTTCCTCAAATCATTAAACATGATTATGAACAAAGATTATTACTTGCAGATTAATCTGTGTGTTGAAAGATGTACACAGTTATTTACCAATGCGAAGGCTCCAGCAGTAACAGCTCCCAGCTTCCCAAGATGTTCCTTATGCTTGTGGTGTTTCTCTTCCTTTTTGTAATCAATCTCGCCGGCCGGATTTTCTTTGTGGCGGTGGTTATTGTGTTGGTGGTGGTGGTGATGACCGTCAGGCATGGTGCTTTGTGAATAAGATGTGATTGGTTTTCTCTTGGCCTTCAGTAAGAATACAAGATGATGCGTGCTTACTGCTTTGGATGTGGAGGGTTTATTTGGGAAGCTATGCTATTTATAATTCTATCTTTGCTGATAATTTCTTATGGATTAAGTCAACATTGTTGATAATTCTTCGGAAGGCCATGTGAAATAATAAAATACTCAGAATATACGCGCCAAAAAAACTTCTAGATTTAAAAACATGCTGTGCATATGATACGTACGAATTCTCAGATTTTTAATTTAAACTAGTACTTTTTTAATTCATGTATTTTTAAAATTATGTCCACTTGACTTTTTGGTAAATCATCTTCTATTACAATGATGCAAGACAGTAATAAAACCGTACCAATGTTGTTGGCCAAAAAAAAAACAATTACACCAATATAGTAATAAAATAAAAGTACTAACAATTGGTTCGCATTTTGCATGAAATGATCTGATTACATAAATCATACCATGATTCAAGGTTAATGAATAATAAATCTTCGTCATATAAACTTTATATATATATAGATATAAAAAGTTATAAAATATATATTGAGATGTGCGTATTTGTTAAATCATTATAAACGCAACTTTGAAACAGTCAACTCTAATGGAAGATAAGGGACCACGCGGAAAATAGCGGTTGGAGCTAAGAAATTGTGAAGTTAACAGTTAACACGTCACGCGCTAATCAAAGACGGGGCGTGTGCGTGCGTGTGTAACCCTATTTTGCAGGGAAAATGAAAATGGCAGATTGTGAAAACGTTTATAGCAATTCAAAATCTCAAATCATTGACATGCTTTGAATATAATCTCATCTTTCTTTTTAATTAAAATATCTCTAATTATTAAAATAGATGACATTTTACATTGGTTTTAGAATCAATATAAAAGCATAGATGTAGAAAGTGGTGTAAAAAATTGCTTTTTCAGACTGACTGCTGAGACAGAGCACTTAAGAGATTTAGGAGGAGGAGAAAACATATAGAGAGAAAAGTGCCTGAGCAAGAGTAAGATTATACTCACTGTAAAATATTTTTAATTAAATCTCACCCTTTAATAAAGAAGTTACCTATTTTTTAATTAATTTTATTTTTTCATATTTATTTTTATTAAATATTTTATAAAAAATATAAAGTCATTATTAATATAAGTATTTTAAAAAAAGTAATAATTACATTTCAAAAAACTAAAAATACCTTACATTTTTAAATGGAGGGAGTATATTTTTTTAATTATCTACTTATCAAATTGGTTGTAATTTAATTGGGATATGATAGGAAAAAAATGTTTCTAAACCTGTAACAAGTGTAGATAATCTATTAAAACATTAATTTATTTATAAAATGTCACTGATCAATCAGACCTTTTTACACTTGTTAAAATTAGAGCCGGTAAAAAAAAAAAAAACTAAAACTTCAACTTATTTATAAAATTGCCATCGGTCACACTTTCTACTCTAGTTTGGTCTTGACAGGTGTAAAATCCTTGTGTAAATATTTTTTTGTACAAGTGACTCATAAATTTAAAGAAAATTGGTTTTGTATTGAAGGATGTCGCTTATCAATCCATTGAAAAATTAATTGTGATTTGATAGATATTTTCATAAATTTATATATCACCATTTGTGAATCTTATAAAAAAGTTACTTATGAATTTTTTTGAAGTCAATGGTAAATAGATATTCAAAAAGAAGAGTCTCTAAATCATAGATTTACAATTAAAACCATTAATATCTATTTACAACTTACATTCAATGGATTCATAAATGAAATTATATATATCCATCTTTTACTGCTTCGAGTTCTGAAGGCAGCGTGGAGTGGCGACTTCTAGGCAGATAGGGTGAGACACGCCATTGCATTCCTCTTTGATTAATGGGCTCGTCTGCTATTTCATTGGACGCTATCTCGGCCCAATCAAATTCGGCGGGTCCAAAACATTTTAAGCCGAACAATATTGTAATTTTTTGAATTGGTTTTTAAAATAAAACAAAAAAAAAATCTGTTTGATTATGTTAATTTAAAAATAATTTTAGATTTAAAAAAAACCAACAGTAGAGATCACTTGTAATTATTGGTGATGACTTATAATAATAATTGATCATAATTAATAGTAGCTTTCAATAATCAAATATATAGTGTGCTTTGAAAACAATGAAATAGCTCCAAGGTATTTTCATTTTCTTGTCATTAAATATAAAAAAAGGATAACAATTTTGGAAACATTTAAACACTTACACAAATGATTTTTTTTAATTAATTTTCAACTTCCACATAACTCTAATTTTCAACTATATATCCTTATTCTCTTTAACCGTTTGATTAAGCATTACATGCCAATTCAATGCAATGTATGTCCACTTCTTTTGGGTTTTAGGAAGAAAGAGGAATGGAGACAAAAAGGGTTAGGGTTTTAATCATTTTTAGCAATTTGATTTGATCACCATTACAACAATAAAAAAAAGAAAAAAAAATATTTTCAGGAGCACTTCTTTTTAACCCATCAGAACGTTTGAAAGTGCTCTATATATAGGTGCTCCGATGCGTACGAGAACAAGACTAGAATTCTTGAAATGCAACAAGGTACATTTAGGTACATCTTTACAATATCTAGTTTACTTTCACCTATTTGATTTCAATCGATAAATTTACATTGTTATTATTTTTCAAAGTCCACAATTGAAAATGTATTTTTATTCTGTTCTTTTAATGTAAAAATAATAAAAAATAATAATGTACCTATATATAAATTGTTAAGAATAATCAGCTCTACTGTTTTTCGTTCCGATAATGACATATATTCTAAAATCATTTAAAATAAGATTTGATATTTTTGGAAAAACAACTCTTGATTAATTAGATATTGTCTTTATTGCAGAATCAGGGAACTATGAATGATTGATGATGATCATATATAGAAGAAATTAGTCTTTGGACCAAGAATGGAAAGAAGATTATTTGCTTAGAAACAAAAAGGGAAAAAGAATGGACATGAGTTTTTAAATCAAGGAAATAGAGCCTTATATATCAACATTCAAAAGCTTCAAGTATAAAAAGATAAAAGATTGAATGTGAATAATAGGGAACAAAATAGACGATTAGCCTTGTGTGTTAGAGAATGAGATTATTGTTAATAGTGTAATTAGTTACAATATAGTTTGGATTGTTTTACAACTGTATTGTTGTAATATTCTTTCCAGATTTACTTTACACGTGTCTCATTTGTGTTTGTTGATTTGTAACAATTTGGCTTATATAAAGAAAAATAGTCTTCTTCATTGTCTCCGACGTCCTCACAGTCTCCTTGTATGGTTCGTCCTTCAACTTTTATTGACTCAGTCCTGGTGCACGATGATTCGTCACATCCATACACAATGGCAGCTTCTTCATCTCCTTCCCACGTGCAGTCGTGTGAGCTTGTTAATGTCCATCCAATGGTGACACGGGCTAAGCAAGGAATCTTCAAGCCCAAACATCTTTTTGTTAGGCTTTTATCTACTAAAGATCCGAAATCACTTAAAGTCTTTTATTGAACTGGATTCATTCGCTGATGCACTCTGGTCTCCTCAATGGTAGTTTGCCATGGCTGAAGAATTTACTGCCTTATAGTGGATTCAAACATGGTATTTGGTTCGTCATCCTGCTTCCCAAAAAGTTATTGATTGTCGATGGGTTTTTAAGACAAAGTTCGAGGTAGATGAATCTCTTTTGAAGCACAAGGCGCGACTAGTTGAGAAGGGGTTCCAACAAACCCCAGGTTTCGATTATAGTGAAACTTTTAGTCCAGTGGTGAAGACAACAACGGTACTGTAGTTCTGACTATCCCCGTGACTTTAGGCAGCTTGATATAAATAACGCGTTTCTGAATGGATATTTACTAGAGGAGGTTTACATGTAGTAGCTTGAAGGTTTTATTGATGTGCAACAACCTACTCATGTTTGTAGATTAGTCAAAGCTATCTATGGCTTGAAGCAAGCTCTTTGAGCTTGGTATGAACATTTAAGGCTCACTTGATCTAGTGGGGTTTTCAAAATTCAAGAAGTGATACGTCTCTTTTTATGCTTCGAAGCAATGGATTGACAGTATTTATTTTAATCTTTGTTGATGATATTTTGGTCACTGGTAACAATTCTATTTATCTAAGAGCCTTTGTTCAAAAGTTGAGCAGCTTGTTTTGTTTTCTCTTAAAGATTGGTGGTCAGTTTGCTATTTTTTGGGAATTGAAGTTGCTTGTAATAATTCTAGTCATTATCTCAGTCAATCTAAATATGTGCTTTGATATTTTCCATTGGTTTGACATGCTTGATTCTGCACTTGTCTCCACTCTGATGGTTATTGGTAGACAATTCTCTCTTTCTGATGGTGATCCTCTTAATAATGCCACTAAATACAATATTTTACCACAACTTGACGAGATATAGCTTTCTCCGTGAACAAGTTGAGCCAATTTATGACCAATCCTACGATGTACACTTTTAGGGTGTTAAACATGTTTTAAGGTATCACAAAGGAACTTATCCTTTTGGTTTGCATATCAAACCTTTTCTGCAACTAACCATTAATGCATTTACTGATGCTGCTTGGGCTACTACTATTGATGATAGGAAACCAATGGTTGGATTTGGTGTGTATTTAGGTGATACTTTAGTGACATGGGCCTCCAAGAAATAGAGAATTGTGTCCAGATTGAGCCCTGAGTCTGAGTATCGTGCTTTAGCAGATAAAACAACTGAAGTCAATTGGCTATGTTATTTGTTGCATGAGTTAGGGTGTCCTCCCAATCGACCTCCTACTGTGTGGTGTGATATTCTTAGTGCTAAGGCTTTAGCAGCTAATCTTGTTCAGCATGGTCGTTCAAAACATATTGAAATTGACCTTAATTTTGTTAGAGATCGATTACTAGCCAAGACATTGAATGTTTGGTATATTCCATCCCACAGTCAGATAGCAGATTGTTTTACTAAAGCCTTGCCTCCTTCTCAATTTCAAGCTTACAGAGACAAATTCGGAGTATTTATAACTCACTCTCGATGGGGAATGTTAGAGAATGAGATTATTGTTAGTATTAACAATAATCTCATTCTCTAACAGCTATATTGTTAATAGTGTAATTAATTACAGTATAGTTTGGATTGTTGTACAGCTGTACTGTTGTAATATTCTTTGCAGATTTAATTTAAACATGTATCGTTTGTATTTGTTGATTTGTAAATGTTTGGCTTATGTAAAGGAATACAGTACCCTAGCCTCAGTACCTTGAGCCGAGCATTTTCATTTCTTGTGCCTGATTTTCATCTTTGCGTGCTAAATGATGTGTGCTTTCTGATATATCAATATTAATAATGAGTATTTGAGTGCTTAAGCGTATCTAGCGTGTTGAGAGCATTTCTCTTGCGAATTATTTTTACATATTTATCGTATTTGTTTGGGATGAGATGTGTAAATACCCTAAGAGATAATTTTGAGTGAGTTATGTAAAATCTTGAATTTTAAGAGTTGTAAGTGATCGATCTTGGTGTAAAACTTATTACAAGATTGTAATTGAAACTTGTATATCACGCACACACTGATACATAGGGGTGTTCACGGAACGGGATGGGACCGGGACACCCCCGTCTCGTGTCTTATCCCGAAAAAAAGATCGGGACTGAATTTTGGTCTTGTGTCCCATCCCGTCCCGAAAGTCGCCCATCCCGTTAAGAGTTGGGACGGGACCGGGACAAGATCGGGACGTCCCGCCGTCCCGATAAATGAAATAATATCAAAAAAAGATCTGGATAATAATGTTCATTAAAATTTTAAATTATATAATTTGTTAAGTTTAAAATCAAAATAACACAAGTACATAAATAACAATAATTTAAAATCAATTATTGAATTATATTAATCACCACTACATATTATAATAAAAAATACAAGTGATCTTTATTCTATAAGATTAGCAATAACAGGCAAGTCAAATACAACATCAAATAATTATTCTTCTACTTTAGTAAAGATGTACTAAGCTAATTACTCTTCTAAAAATAAGCAAGAAATATGTTATAAATAAAAGTTATTAAATAGATAGATATAAGAATAAATTATATTAATATAATTAATATATTATAAAAAAGATATCGCCATGTTTACTCCATGCCATTAAAATTATCAATATAAAAACACTTTAGTTTTAAATAAGAATTGTAAGTATTAAAATTATAATTGATATAATTAATATAAGTATAAATTATATTAATATATTTAAAATAAAAAATAATATATATAATATTCGTGATGGGAAGGGACGTTCTGATGGTAATCCCGTGTCCCGTCCCGTCCCAAACCCCTTTCCTGTCCCGTCCCGTAAAGTCTCGTCCCGATTATTTTCGTGCCGGGACAAGACCCGTCCCGATATGATCGGAACGATACCGGGCCAATCGGGATGGATCCTGATTGAACACCCCTACTAATACACACTCACACACAGTTCCTAGCAAGTGCACAGTCAATAAGATAAATTAAATTTGGAACAATACTAAAAAAAGTTGTCGAGTAGAGACTAAATTGGTATTTCATATAGAGAGGGGGGGGGGCATACAAATAAATCCACAAATATATTATATTGTAAACTCCTGCTACACAAATGAACCAATTAATTAATATTCCAAAAGTAAATCAAAAGACTATATATGATTATCACAAATCTGAATTCAGCTTCTCTCCTACTCGGTTCTGTCTTGCCCTGCCCCAGTACTGAACACAGAGTACTGTAATACCTTAAGAGAATCATGAGGTTAAGCATATATAGTGCAAAACACGATACACCAAGAGAGAAGTTGAAGCTCCATAAATAATCCATATTTATATATATATATATATATATATTCACGATAAGTTAATAAAATCAATGAAAGAAGTGGTGATGCTTCTTTCCATGAGCCTCTCCATATTTCTTCTTTGCTTCTTTCTTCTTGTGATGCTCGTGAATCGCATAGCCACCAGCTCCAACAGCAACAGCTGCTGCAATCTCCTCTTTGATCTTGTGACTGTGTGCATGTTCTGGATCTTTCTTTGCCTTCTTCTCATGCTGCACAAATAGTTTAATTTGTCGCCTCAAATCATTAAACATGATTATGAACAAAGATTATTACTTTCAGATTAATCTGTGTGTTGAAAGATATATATACAGTTATTTACCAATGCGAAGGCTCCAGCAGCAGCAGCTCCCAGCTTTCCAAGATGTTCCTTATGCTTGTGGTGTTTCTCTTCCCTTTTGTAATCAATCTCGCCAGCCGGATTTTCTTTGTGGCGGTGGTTACTGTGGTGGTGGTGGTGATGGCCGTCGGACATGGTGGTTTGTGAATAAGACGTGATTTGTTTTCTTTTGGCCTTCAATAAAATAGTATGCGTTTACTGCTTGGGTGGGGAGGGTTTCTTTGGGAAGCTGAGCTATTTATAATTCTATCTTTGTTGATAATTTCTTATGGATTAAGTCATCATTATTGATATTTAATTGTAAGGCCGTGTGAAATAATAAAATTGTCAGAATAGACGCGCCAAAAAACTTCGTGATTAAAACAAGCCGTGTGTTTTGAAAATGAATTCTGAAATTTTCTTTTAAAATAATGTAAATTTTATTTTGTATATCTTTTTTTTTTGCCACCATATATTTAAATTCAATTAGGAAGTATGATCATCAGTTTCTATTAAATCTTTAATATATATAGCAATAATACATGGCCTTCATACTTACAGTCTTACACCATCATAATATTATATAATAAACCAATGTAGGCTCGCACTTGAATTCTGAGGTCATATATATATAAGAAGAGCATGAATTTTTATTATATTATTATATGTATATAAAGTATATATATACTCCATCAACCATTAACCATTTTAAATTTGAAACAGTCAAGCCGAGAGGAGAGGGACGAGGAAATAGAGATTGGAGCCGAGAAATCGTGAAGTTCTAGAAGAGATGAAGCGACATGGTGATAAAATAACCAATACAACAAGCAAACAAAAACGCGTCACACGCTAATTAAAAAGAAAAAGCGCGTATTAGTTATATCCTTCACATATATATCGCAAGTATTATAAAAATCATGTTATAGTTCGCCTGGTGATAGATTTAGAAACCTAGTCTGTGGGGGCAACATGTAACACCCTCAAAACTTACAGACTGATTTTATTAAAACCATTATCATGGTAGAAAATTTTCTTACCACGATACATCCAAAACAATATGCCACAAGTCTTAAAATATCTCAAAAAAATAATTAGAACCATGAGGGACAGACATAATCCTCATGGCATGATATTCAAATCAGATCATAAATCAAGAGGGACAGACATAATCCTCTTGGTCATATAAATACTTTTAATAAAAAGGATTAGAGTTTACATGCTTCACAAAGAAGATATGTCATAAGTTGGCACAAGATACATTGTATAATCCAAAATAAGAGGCAACGTAAAAGATGGTGTCTCATATACCATAGTTACACCTCTGGTGCTTTCTCGACCGGACTCGATCCTGTAAAAATATTAACCACGGGGAATGAGGCTTAAAAGTCCCAGTAACCAAAAATTAATATGTAATGATACATGCGATTGTAACTAATCATGCGATTACTAAGTGGGCACACAAAACATTTAACCGAACAATATTTTCAAACAAACTGAACAAGTATTTAATTTGCATGACTACACCTTATATCCTCCTTTCGCCATGCTCGGACGCCAAATCATCCGGCCAAAGGTGAGTTGGACCAAGCGACATGCCACTCATTGAGTCCAATGAGGGCTTACCACGTGGTAATAATTAACCGAACAGAAATTTCCATTAACACCATACATTAAAATACCCTGACAAGTCATGCATCATTCAAATATCCAAACAGGAATATATCCGAACAATAATATCTCATCATGATAAATAAAAATAAATTTTTGACCCACTTGGCAATAATTTCAAACAAGTATATAACAGTATTTATTTTCAATAATTCATAGTTTTTCCAAACAACAAGTCAACACATAACCATTCACAAACATACTCATCACAACACATTAATAATGGTTACCTTGTGTCTTGAATAACAAGTTCCCCTTCACAACTCCTTTTCACCACTATCTTTGTCAATATAATCTACGTAATTATTTCACAATACTATATATTAATTTTACATTAAAATAAATAACTCTAATTTAAAGAATTAGAAAGTCTTAGATCTATAATCCATATTAATACTAATTTAAGATTTATGCCTCATTTAACTTCCCAAATTCTTTTTCTAAAATTCTCGTACCCTAATAAACTATTTTTTTTATCCTTAAATCACTTCTCATATCACAATTTCATCCTTCTATATTCTAAAAATTCGTCCAAAAATAAATTAAAAATTTTAGAATTATCTTGAAGCCTCAAATCACCTTTCTATAACCTCAAAAATACCTATTCATACTTAAATAAATATTTAATAATCATAGATTTATCCCTACATCTCAGATTCCACATAAATTCAACCATATAGATCTAAATTTTAACTCAAAAATTCTTAAACATGAGTTTCAACCTCAAAAAAATATTCTATAATATTTATTATATCCCTAAGAGTTTTAACCTATATTTTTAATCCATCATATCATCAGATTAACTATCATATAGAAAAATTCTAGTCAAAATATTTACTCTATCCTACAAAATAATCATATCACTAGAAAGCTAATATTATTTAGAAAATAACTATAAAATTAATTTTATAATTAAATAAATTTTTAAATGCTAATCTAAACAGGAAAGTTAGAACATACATGAAGAAAAAGAAAATAATCCCCCCTTGCGAGAAAACGCCGAGCAACGTGAGAGGAAGAGAGAAAAATAATATAAAAATGGGATTGTGGTCCCAAAATTATATTAAAAAAAACTATAAGTTTAAATTTAATTATTTAAACCTTTGGGCCATTACTTGCAATTTTTACAAATTGCATCTTGGGCCCTTAATTGTAATTTTCACAAATTATAATAAAAAATTCTTCATGCTTCCTCCACAATGCCCCTCCTCTTTTTATACATGAGGAGGTGCCTTTCATTCCCACATCTAACCGATGTGGGACTAAACCCCCTCCCCTTTTTTTTTTTTTACTTTCTTTTCTTTTCTTTTTCTTTTTTTTAACTCACACTCACACATTAATAATATTTTTTTTAAATCTTAAAATTATATCTTAACAAAATATTTTTTATATAATTTTAAATTTAAGTTTTTAATTCATAATTAAATGCCTAACCATATTATTATTTTCAAATAACCTCAAATAATATAAATTCCTATTATTATCATCATTTTAAAAAAAAACTTAAATTTCATAAATTTTTTTTATCTAAAAATTAAGATGTTACACAACACATGCATATATTCAAAGGAGCCCGCAAACCTGACTATTCAAAAAGAGAAATTAAAAAGAGTACTAATCAAATTGCAAAAGAGATGAAGCAGTTATTAGAGAAAAAAAATCCCACATCTTGAAATTAGAAAATATATTAAGAATATATAAAATTTAGGATATGTTTACTCAATAGCTTAAGCTATTTTGATAAAGTAGACAATTATCAAGCATAATTAATATATAAACTTGCTTCGAAAAGAATGAAGGATGTTATTAAATATTTAGTAACAGCAGCGCCAATGGCAAAACAATTGATCTTCACCTTAAGCAACAAATATTTAGCAATAGGTGAAAATTAATAGGTAACAATTTTCAACTGTTGAATTAAAATTTTTAAAATAAACAACATAAACAGTTGTTTGTAAAACTATTTCTATCGCAATAATATTGTTTTTTATTTTAATAGGCAGCAAAAAATGTCACTATTAAATTTTTCGTTTTGCAGCATTTAAAAAAACATTGTGAGATGTTACTTTGTAAAAAAAGCTTTCAGAGTATCTCTTAGCTCTCAAGAGGTGTTAAGTGTGGGATGTTCTATAAGAGTTAAAAAAAAAAAAATGTTGCTTCAAAGAATAGAATAGATAATGCTGATATATGTAATGATTAAAAAAATGCTGCCTAAAGTTATAGGTAATTGTTTTCATTACTATAGTAACGCTTTTGAAATGTTTATTTTTGCTACACTGAATGTAATTTGAATATATCAAATGTTTAAGCTTGTGGTGTCTTGTTCTCTTGTCATGGGTATGGCTCAAAAGGGCCATGTGGAAAATCCAAAGGGCAAGAGGAGCAGCTGACACGAGTGCTAGATCAACAGCAACTAATTATGCATTCTCTCTGTTACCTTTCAGTGCAAGCGGCGACTGATCCCATTTCCTCTTCAGCTCCAAGGACTTTGGGGTCATTTGGTATGATAAAATTGATGAGTGTAGAAATGGATATAGAAACGAAATTGAAAATATTTCATGTTTGGTTAGTTAAAATTATGTTGAATTGGACTTCCACATGAAAACCAATCCCATCAAAATTGATAGAATTGGATTCCGCAAAAAAAAAAAAAATCTCAGTTTTCCAATTCTGGGTTCCTAATTTCATTTTTTTACCTCTTCCTCTCTCTTGTCCAACTTATGTCTGTTGCATCATGATATGTACTGGTCGTTAATGCATCAAATAAACTAAGTTCCACTAGTATAGCTAGTGGGCAACGTAGGTTGAATTCCTCTCGTGAGTTGGAATTGAATCAAGCTAAAATGATGTTAAAATGTGATAAACAACAACAAAGAGGTTGGTTGAATGATATAAGTGGTCGCTAAAATAAAACTATTCTAATGTTAGTGAATTTTTGAAATTAAATTTATGAGTGAAATCTAAATGAATTGGTGTTTGCAATTAATGTGTATGAGATCCTTAGAAGTGAGAGTTGAAGCCTATCCTAGCCAAATTAAATTGCCAAGTCACCTCAATTCATTAGCCAAGCAATCACTCAAACTTGGTTAAAAAGCTCTCTAAATATTTCTAGTATTCTAGGTGATTAATGATAGTTCTATTCAATCAATTAGCACCATCAATGTGCAATGAGTACAATGAAATCAAAGCATGGTCAATGACTCAATGTACAGAATGAAATTCACTTGGAAAATGAGTTTCAGTTAGACAAATCAAGTTTCAAGCATCCCAAAGTAATACCAGCACAATACTAGTGCAATCACAAATATATTGCCAGCAAATCACAATTAATATAGTGCCAATAATCACAATGCAATATGAAGTTCAGGCTAGGTCCAAGGGTCAAACGAAAATTCCAGCAAATTGCTCAATCCTCAATATACCATTACAAAATGTCAACTAAACATTTATCGTCAACCTGTGGACCTGAGTTGCATCGTGCTAGAAAGAGCTCCCCGCCACACTTACGGCTGAGCTGACCACGCTTTTGCTTCTGATAAAGAGTAAGAAAAAGTTGTAATGCTTACCGATTTATTGTGTGAGGAG